TCCTGTTCTTCCACAGAGTAACAGTGCAAAACAAGAGGAAAAAAAATCACTCAAAAATAGTAAAASAGTTAATTATTAAAAACCTACATGAAGGATTCAAATAATTGTCAACACAAAGTGGGAATGTTTCTGTCCCTACCAAGCAGATATGCATGTAAAATTTCCTGGAGAATTCTTAAGTAACAGCCCTATTTTTTACACTGTGTTTGTGTGTGTGTGTGTGTGTTGCACTTTTCCCCCTTTAGGTGTTTCAATTATTTGGAATTTATGAACGGAGTTGAGAACTAGGGACAACCAAAATCTGCAAACTAGATATCTCAACAAGAAAGAGCATGAGTGAGGGTGCAGTGCACAGGGTAAGAAAGATCCAAAAATAGTTTATGGAAGTAATTCTATTACACTATGTGTCTTTTAAAGATAACATTTTCAAACCGYGTAAGAGACATGAAATAGCACTCAGTTATCCTCCAAGTATTCCAACAGTTTTGAATTTGTTACATCACATTCCATTAACCTCCTGTGYCATGTTCAGGAACAACGAAGCCTATTTATTTATTTAGTCTACACTTGACCTGTAGGACAATCGAGGACTACAAGTACATCCAGGCCTTTAGCTTAAAGAGGAATGAATGACAGAACTATACAGATATCTCAAAAGCTTCTTGTCAGGATGGTGTGGTAGCAAGAGTTTGAAGGATTCTACCTGTAGAGGAATCCAAAGGAAGCCAGGGAAGGTGGAAGACATAGTATAAAGATTTTTTTTCTAGAAAAAAATACAATTTGCCTGATTCCTGTATTCCTAGATAAATTGGAGAAATTGTTCTGATAGTAACTTTTAGGTGTGGTGCCTCTAAATGAATTAATGTGGTACAGAGAGATGGCATGCATGATCTTTGGGATTGGAAAAAATTCACCCAGGGAACAAAAGGAAGTCAATTATTTACTCATGGATAGAMTTCATCTACCTCTTGTAGATGTTCCTAAATAGAGTCCAAAGTTTCTTCAAGAGAGGAGAATCTTAGAATGTGATAGAGGATCACAAAGCTAACTTCAGAATTATCTAGAATAGCAATGGTATGGAATGGCTTAAATGAATGGAAGTGAAAGACCTAAAAAAGGAGAAGGAGAGGAGCTGAAGTGGAGAGCACTCTTTTTTATCCCAAGTAGTCCCAAATTTCCTCTTAGGTTTAATTCAWGGGAAATAAAGAAGTCTTCTAATATACCTCAACTAGAACTGAAGCAAGAATGCAGAGAATTCCGCTGTCTCAAAAGTATGTCAGAGACAAGAATCATTTATTCTTGCTCTCCCAAAAGACGTGATCAATTTGTTTCCATAGAAATATATTTGTGTAAATAGATATTTACTTTGAGAGTAAGAAACTGGGAAGTCTATTGCAGATGAAAGTAATAATTGAGAAACAAAATTATAAGTATCTTGTATAAATTTGCCAGATTCTTGAAGTCTCTCGCAAGTGCTTTACAAAAATAATTGCACAGAGTCTTTGCCCTGTGTTCAGAGCACTTTATGTATACCCCTTTTAAAACAATATATGCCACCCCAGCTAGACTCTCAAYTCCCCAAGGAGAAGAGCAAGGTATAATTTATGTCTGTATACGTAATGCCCAGCACAACAATCCTTGGAGTAGAGGGCATCCAATCTATACTTCTTGAATGAAATAGAAAGAAGAGAACAACTTTTTTTTTTCAGTTTGCTCCTGTTACACTGGGCACATTTCTGACAAAAGGAAGAAAAAAGGTTAGTACCACTTCCGTTATTACTAAAGAAAAAAAAGATCATTTTAAAACATCAGCTGCAGGATTCTTAAAATAAATCCCCCTTATGTTTTGGAGAGTGAATAGAAGAGGCTAAGCTATTCATAAAAATATACATAGAGAAACACACAATGTCTATTTCTTTAGATGGATTCTCTTAGAAACCGTGAGAAACTTGCCCTCTATACACAGTGAATGATATAGTCAGTCTTTTTTTGGTAAGCAAAGGTACTGTTGCTTGAATAAATAAATATGTTTGGTGGAAATAATATCAATGGAACAGCTCCCTTAGAATGTRAAATTGCACAGGTATTTTTGGTTTTAGTGTAAAGTAACTATATTCCACGAAATATTTCTATAAACAGCAGCTAACAAAGACTGAGTGTGGAACCAGAGGAGGTTATAGAGGTCTCATGGCCACATAGTGCTGTCAGGAAATGAATATGGCAGTGTAACAGGGGTGGGAGGTAAAGGAGGATTAGAATGCAAAGTCTAGTTTTAGATTATAGTTGCCTGAAGATTGAAATACTCACGAAATTGCATAATTACAGATAATTAAACAGATCTTGGTTCCAGAAAAGACAGAGAGGTACAGTTAGCATTTATTCCTAATTGTGAAGTGTGTTTTTGTTTAGAAAAGTGTGTTTTCAGACACATCCAGTGAAAGTCATAGTGTTTTCTGGGGTTGTGAAGGAATCCAGTCTTGTAAGAATAATTCTGATTCGGCACTGAGACTATATATAGCAGTGTTGTGCAGACTGTACTTTCTGGGTATCCATCTGCCTTTTGGCCTGGGTACCCAGAGCTCTTATATACACAGTCCATACATGGGGGCGGGGGCCAGTAGTTTGTGGTGTCCACGTGGCCAGGACAGAGCTTCACAAATTCTCCAACCTATACAACTATCTACAAGCATATATAAGTCCATGAAAAGTTCAGATAGGATGAGTTGACCTTTACTAGTCCTCCACATGGGCAAAATATGGGACATGCTTCTCAGAGATTTGAACAAGGGAGAGTTTCAGCATTATTGCTCATACTTTCCTTCTCCTTTCCATTTTTCTTTTGGAGATGCTTCGGGCTAAACTCACTGCACTTCGTGGTGACTTTTATTTCAGGTGACAAAGGAATATGTAGCCAAGCAAAAGCCTGATTTATACAATCTTTTTATAGAAATAAAAAATTCAAAAGTGAGAACTGGAGAAAGAGGAAGAAAGGGCGGCGGAACACAGCATTTAAAGATCTATCTTTTTATTCGGTTATCATTTGTCTTATTAAAGCTAATTTTTAAAAAAAACATATATTCTTGTTTAAAATCACTGTAAAGTAAATTTACTAGGAAAATGATGATTATATATTAACTAATGAGATGACTAAAAATCCAAAGAAAATTTTAAGGAAAGACTGTACTTAGAACAATGTCTTAAAGTCGAGACATGATTATAAACTCAACCCATCTTCACAAGCTTTGAAACTGGAAGAAAAGCTGGGGGATTGGTATGGAATGAAGCTAATCACTTGCTCCTTGTGAGCTTCCTAACACAAGAGGAGTGTTAAGGAATGAGAGGCAAAGGACATCAGAGCAAGATGGAAAGTCTGCTGTCAAGGCTGGCCAAAGGTAAGGTGGTAATTGTTTTGCGAATCAAATTCACCTAAAAAGAATCAGTAAGTATTTTCTTCAACTCTGAATCATTCTTCTGGCATTGCCAGGACCCTGGAGCATTGATATCCTTTATCCCTTATCTTTCTCCAAGGTAGTCCAGGGGCAAAGAGTTAGGCATATTGCTACAGCAAAATCATCAGAATTCTTACTATCAAAACCCAGAGATAGTCTCAGGATGGCTTCCCAAAGGGATGAATTCCATACTTTGTCACTAAAAGGGGCAAAGAGCCTGAAATTTGTTGCTGCCTCATCTGGGAATATAAGTCTGCAGAAAAGTATGTGTAAGTGGAGGCTTTTTCAATGTATAGAATGCAACAGATTTCAAAATGGGGTGTGCTACAGAACCTAAGGGATCCTCTGAAATCAATCACTGGGTCAGCTGGAGGTGACTACAATGCCACATGGGCCAGTATGTCCGAAACCTCCTAGAAACAGTTCAGTGGACAGAGATGGATTCATTATAAATGTTCCAAAATGTAAAACCTGCAAACTGACATTCAATTTCTCCACCAGGTCTTTCATGAGTAGATGGAAAGGAAGAATTCTGCCTAATATTTCACTTCTTTCATGCAGTTTTTTCCATATATATATTTATTTAAAGCTGAGTTAAGATGGTTTAAGCTTTTTCATGGAACCAGGTACTATTTTAGACTTTTATTTGAATTTCTTTATGCTGCAGCAAATTACATATATATGTGTGTGTATATATATATATTTTTTACCTCAATATAATAATCCCAGGAATAACCTAGCTAACATGTCTTACAAAATTGGAGGATATCATTTTTTGAAGTTATGGAACATCTACTTCCTAGCAACTTTCTTTTTACCTCCTAATTTCAAGYGACTATTTCCATGCTTCCTCTAGGTTTATGCTATTGTGTGCTGTTTCTAAAGTTTTGGCCCCAGGARACAGTGATAAGAAAGGAGCAAAGTAATTGCTCACTACTATCAGCAATTCTATTTGAAAATACTCAGGGGATAAGAGTCATAGCAAAAAAGGGCGATGAGTTAGGGCAAGGGGCCTAGGGAAATTAAATTAACGCAAGTTGTTCTTGTTCCTTGTAAAATGCCACCGATGCAAACCAGGCCTGAAGGATCTCTCTGCCCTGGCTTCCCTGGTAGAGATGAACTGGGAATGGGAGAGGATGTCAAGGATGACCATTAGATGCCTAAGTCACAGAGCTCAAGTTCAAGGTAAGCCTGCCAGAATACGAGTCTGCAAAACTAAAAAGTGCATTCTAGAAAGTGGAACACAAAGCTGATTGTGTGTGTGTGCGCACACGTGTCTCTTCCTTGTCTAGAACAGTAAAGTCAGTGTCTTGAGTGGTCATTTTCACCACGATACAGGTGTCAGACAGGAAGGCAGTAGCTGTAGCTGCCTAGTCTCCTGAGCTGGGTCAAGGGGATTGATGTTGTGGTAGATGCAGGTTATGTTCCAAAAAAGGAATGGCAAACATTTAAGAGAGAAGGACCAAAATTAAAAGACAAAAGAGAGAAGAGAAGGAGAAAAAATTAACAAGTAACCACAGAAATGAGTATCAGGTGACCCTGTAGTTTTTTTCAGATGAAATATTCCCGTTTACACTCGCTGACTGTGTTTTGCAAGTCAATATCATTTCTGAAGGAACTGTCCAAATTCTCTGGATATTCCTTCTCCTTCATCTGGTTAGTGCGATGTGACTGCTTATGCTGGTAAAGGAGGCGGGTCATGATGCCGATGATGCAGAAGGTGATGAATATCACCACTGCTATCACTCCTGTGGGGAAAGGAAGATGGAAAGGAGAAGAAAATTACCACAGATCATCTGGTCCAGAGATGATTCAATGTAGACAGGGATGCACTTTAGAGAAAACAACACAAAACAAATACACAAACCAAACTCTACCACAAACCCAGAAATAAAGACCTGCTACATGACTTTAGTCAATTACTATAAAACCTCCTTCTTCCACACTAGGGAGGGAGAAATTCAGTTTAAGTCAAAGAAAGTTTTATTTCATGGCCTAAGAATGCTACCTTATAAAGATAGAATGAGAATAGCAAAGGATTTCTTCATATATTTTTTCAAGATCTGCTTAAATAATGTGTCCGAATTGTTTGTAATTAACATATTTCATTGTCACCCGTACCTAAGGCTTCTAGAATTACATGAATATCCTAGAAAACAATGCTTAAAAACTTACATCCTGACACATGCTTATATATGTTTGTTTTATGTTATGTTTGTTTGCTAAAAATTTCATAATAAATACTTACTAAAGACTTAGGGCATTTCTACACTGATGGACACTCTGCTAACTCAGACAAGGAACACCACTGTTCTTGGAAAATTTATACTTAACTGAGATGGTAAACTTCAGCCCAGTTCTGTTAATTTCACCTTTACTTTGATTGTATGTAGTAGTTCTGGATCTATTTTTCAAGTTGTCCTCATTGACCCTAATATCTTGTACCTACCTTTGCTACAAAATTTTCTGGGACTTAAAAGACAGTCCAAGTAAATCTGGTGAAATGTGGGTGGGAGAATATGTCTCTACACAAATACAGGTTTTATAGCATTGAAACCATTCAAAATACTATTGATAATCAAAGATATTCCATTATTAATAATTATATATTCTGGTTGAATTTTTTCTAAATAGCATAAATGTTGAGAAAAAAAAAGTTTACATTAGAAATTTGTTGTTGGGGGCTGGGTATGTGGCTCAAGCAGTAGTATGCTTGCCTGGCATGCGTGTGGCTCTGRGTTCGATCCTCAGCACCACATACAAATAAAGATGTTGTGTCTGCCGAAAACTAAAAAATAAATATTAAAAATTCTCTCTCTCTAAAAAAAAATAAATTTGTTGTTGGAGACTTTGTGTTACAATTTATGCAAGCAAGTATACTGGAGGATTAAATATGCTCTTGGCATGCCTTCACCATTTTTTTTTTTGAGAGGTGGGACCAAATTAAGATTGCTTGCATTTTTATATATTCTCTAATCATTAGGTAACATTGTCCAACTATTTTGGAAGAAGGCAGAGTAAAATCACCTAATCAATAAATATGTGGATAAACTGGGTGGCAGTGAGTGACCCAGTGAGTGTGCTACAGCTTCAAGACATGAAAGAGGGAACRGTTTTCTACTCCTCCAGTGCCTGGTTGATTCAGAGTTGGAAAGTATGCAGGCCTCTGGGAATTTTCCTATAGGGTTGAGATAACTTTCCAACTCCTACAGAGACTCACAGAAGCATGCAAATGAGTGGAGAAAAGTCAGCAGTCACAAGTCTCTTCCTCACTTGTCAAATGAAAGCTTACAGGAAGAGAAGCAGGCACAGGATACTTTCTGACATTTTTGATGCAAACAGAAATTAAGTTMAACGTTCTTTCCTTAAGCAGAAATTCAGGTCAGATGTTTTGTGAACTTCCATAAATAATGGTCATGGATCACCTTCCTTGTGATTGCATTATGATGAYGTACCACTGGCTCCCCTTGTCATTTCCACTCCTCCCTCAGAACAGTCATCGCTCCTTCTTCTACAGTTTGCTTATCCCAGTCGAGCTGTAATTTCTGAGGGCAGTGTCCYTATCTTTCATCCCATATCCCTATGCTTAGCACAGGACCTGCCTTGCTACTGGGACTCATTAAATACCAATTAAATGAATAGATACTGCAAAGTTTTAAAAGTAGAATGCTATCATACCATATACTGATCGGTTTATCTAGGCTGCCAGCAGGCAGGGATGGGGGCACCTGCTAGGCTGATAGTTCTCAGATGAAAATTCATTTATTCTCTCTCAGGCATCTTGCATTAAACAAGGTTTGGGAGTCATTCTGTGTTGAAAGACCCAGATGGAAAAATCAAGCTACTGCAGGCAGCAGCCAAGCTGAGGCAGAATAAAAAGGGGGTGAGGCCAACATGCAGTTAGAAAATGGAAAAGTAAGGGAGGGAGTCAGGAGCTGAGTTTACAACACAGCAGACAAGATCTGCATCTGTAACCATATGTGCTGCTGGATTTGAAGCTACAGTCCTGTGGGCTTTGCCCTGCTCATTAGATCTAACCCAAATCACTTGGTGGAGAAAGCCCCCGACAGGACTACAGCTTCACCCATCTGTCTGCCCCAACGTGGCTTCTTCCCCATATGTAGTTTTATGGGTCTGCTTTGTTTGTGCTTTAGGAAAAGTGACAACTGGATGAGATGAACAGGATGCAGGCTGCCTATCTGTAAGTAAATGCTCCAGCTGTTGACTCAGTGCTCAGCTGCTAATGAATCAGAGGCAGGAGGAATTCACAGAGCTGCTGGAATTTGAGGAAAGGGTGTCTTTGATCATGCAGCACACAGGACTATTCATTAAAAAGGCTCATGGTCTTGCAGATAATGTGGGATTCTGGGTTTTGGATGGCTGTAGTTAAGGATGGCTTCAGATAACTTCCTCCAAAGTAGAGGATTATTTTTATCTTTTCTACTCTCAACAACAAAGAATGGCTTACCTCCAATGACCGCTGAATCACTCCGAACTGCATTGGTAAGTGGTTCCCGCTCATCTGTCTTCCCAAAGGGATCTAAGGAGAAAAAGACCTGAAACTTGACTCTCCACTGGAACCATCAGAAACAGGATGTAAAATACATACAGATTATACCAAATGCACTCAAATAATTGTGAGTTAGCATTTTGGAAGGAATTCCAGTGAAAACAAAAAGAAGCATTTTAAATATGCTGCTTATAACCCACAGTTCCTAGACCCTCTTAGCTTATATGTAAATTACAGGATAAAGAGTTGAGCCAGAGAATACTGGTTTCTTGACCATATGTCCTCAGTCTTCCCTTGAGGTCCTTTGCTGCTTTGCTGGATAGTTCTTGTATATGAGTAGGCTTCTTACTGTAAGCACACATCCCTCTCTGCATGAGGGTTTTCTTCAGTTGCAAGAGGGTTCTGAGCCCATTGGCAGAGAAAAGAATGAATACTCCTAGGAGCAGCCCTCACAGAGACACATACATGGTACAAGTGAATAATATGTATATTATAGTAAAAGAAAAGAAAAACAACAAGTTTAAAAGTACACAGACAGACATGGCTCTGAATCCTTGCTTGTGCTATAAAATTGTGATCTCTTTGAAATGATAAGTTGCACACATATTAAAAGTGGGCAGGGATACTTATGTGCATGTATATAATGCATACAAATATTCAAAATCTGGTGGATAATACACATTTAATAAATAGCCACTCTTGTTATCATTCTGTTATTGAATTCTCAGGAAATGAAAAAATTTGTATTAATTTAATTTTATTATCTTATTTATTGGTATGAAGAAATAAGAATGGAGCCAGTAAGGAACTTGCTCAATGCCTTGTACTCATTTGTTGCAGAGTGGAGAATTCAAACCCCAGGTATACAGGGCCACAGTCAGACTCTTTCTATTATACCTTACCACTGCCAGGAAAAACCTAAGACCAGTAAAGTGCTGAAAGTAACAAAAACCAACCCCTTTCTTTGCTCATAATTAACAACTTGTTTGGCAATTAATAATGCATTATTTCATGACATCACTAGAGCTATGTGTCATTTAGATTTTTTCATCTGTTAGATGGGAAAAATAATAGTCTCTACTTCATAAGATTTTATGGGAATTACATGARTTAATGTATGTTTTTAAAGTAGTGCCTAACACAATGCAATTGTTTAATAAATCTTGTTTCTTATTATAATTGTGGTGATTATTTTCATACACACACATGTGAGCATGTACATCCTAGTCTCACTGCCCCCGCATCATCAAACTCTGATGGAAGAGACCAAGTCTTACACAGGTATCAGCAGTTGCTACACTGCCATGTGTGGCAATACATAAAAGATGTTGGGGAAGTATTTCTTGTGGAACTGGGTGAACAGTATTATACTCCTTGAGGTGCATTCTGGGGAGCTTTTCCTAAGACTCATGAAACTGGAGCTCAGAAAAAATTACTAGGAAAGAGAGACTGAAGGAAAATGGGAAGGGCATTCAAGGAACTGGTATGGGGTAGGCATTCTGGGTTGGCAGTACTTATAGAGTAGTTCTATTGAAAAGAACTTTGTTTGTGGAACTTGATAATGCTATTAATCATCTCTGGATGTTCAGATAGTTAGTTTACATGCATGTATGCATACATGAGATTGATGACAACAGGAGCGACAGTGATAGTGGTGTTTATATGTGACACACACAGAAAGCAAACAGACAAGGAAAGGTGGAAATGAGAAATCAGAAGAGGAGATGAGAAGAAGTGAGAAAAAGGAAGGGTTATGTAGAAGGTGCTCCAGGGCAAAGGGGGAGGAAGGGGAGAAAGGAGGGAGAAGGAGAGAGGAAGGAATGAAGGAATGAAGAAGTGAAGAAAGGGAGAAAAACAAAACCCTTTAGTCATTATATTTCCTGTGTCCTCTAAAGCCTGCTGTTATTATGTATTCCTATGCCAATATTCCTTCCTGGAATTCCTCCCACTTTGCCATACATATATAAACTTAGCTATCTGCCAGGTTCAGAGCATGGTTTGTTTTTACTCCAACTTGCATTGATTCCTCTTTAATTTAGTCTATGCACTACTTTGTAACTGTATAAACCAATGCAGACTTGGTTTTAACCCAGATTTTTCAATACCTTACATATTTTGTTGTTGTTATACTAACATATATTAATTCAGTTTATTAATTCTAACTCTCCAATATATTTATTGGAGCCAAAAATAAAACACTTCTGAAATGATAAGATGATGGTTTTAGTAACGTGATTACAAAATATTTAGAACAACAGGATTAATCCATGCTTGGATGTGTACCTCCAGGAAAATAATCCTTCAGGGTGCTAATCTGTATATTCATTGGTGAATATTGTGTTAATGGTTTATCTCTATTGTCTTACAATTTTAAAGCCAAACTATGAGTTGTAAGTCCCCCTCTCAAAAATGAATGACTTCATTTAAATACATACTTATACACCTCTGTGTTTCCATATCTGTCTGTATAAATATTAAAACTCTCTATTTTTAATGCTAGACTCCTGCATCTGTATGATGACTTTCCCAGAGTTTTCTATGATTTACTAAACATGCTAAACTGCACAAGAAATTCACACATCTACTTACATATTAGTTCAGCAACCAGGCTGTACCTCCCTTACACTTATATTTTGATCCTCAAAACAGCAGCCACTTAACAACAGGAACTATGTACACATATATACACATATAATATGATTATATATATAATATATATATGTAAAATATATATGTATATATATAAAATATATAAAATTATATATATATTTAAAATATATAAAATTGTATATATTTAAATATATATGTAAAATATATAAAATTGTGCCTTTTGTTCTAATTGTTCATCACATGAAATAGTATTATATTAAATATGTATGAAATCACCCAATTCAAGGTAAAGAATTAAGTACTATTAGCTGGCTCTTTAAACTGGAAGCTTCTAGAAAACAGATAAGGTAGTCTTAGTAAGGGGACTTCATTAGGCATTCTCAGGAATCTACCTGATGAAGAATGCACAGTGGTCACTGCATTCACTTCTGAATCCACCATGGAGCCACAGCTAGATTCCGTCAAGGTCCCCTGGACGGTCACAGGTGCGATAGTGGCATGACGCAGGGCTGCCTTCAGTGGTGCTATATGATTGTACTGGACTGAAGAAAGGCATCCAACAAAACCCAGGGCATTCACTTTAGCAATTTCAGAATCCAATCCAAGATTATCTGCAATGTAAAAGACCACCAGAAAAAAAATATATATTTTTTAAAAATATGCTCTATGTTTTTTGACTATTGTATATAATAACTGAAATGATCTTATTATTCTTTAAGGAAAAAAACTTCCCGTCTTTATATCCTCTTTCCAACTTTACCCTCCCCACACTGCAAGCATCAATGTATCAACCAGATTTTGTAGATAACTGCTTAGCCCATCTCTGCTTTTAGATAGAAATGTTTCAAAACAAAACTTGTATTCATGTATTTTATTATCTGTAGAAGGACAGCAAATGTGTCCTATACTCTTGGTGTTTAATAGAATTTGTATCAGCATCTCTTTTACCATTATCTGTGAATGCAGGTAATTAGGACATCCATACTACAATTCTCATTAAAAATCTCAATAAAAATGAAACAAGAAAAAAAAAGATAAGATGTAGACAATGAGATTAGAAATAAAAATGGTCTTCCCATATATTCATTGTATTTACTATTTTAAGATATCTGTGTAGATTAACCTCTAGAGAAAATGTCTACCTGCTTGGTTCTGCCCATGGTACTGACTGGTGAGAGATTGCTTTGTTATTTTGACAGCATTCAAGTTCCTAAAGTAGTTTTGAGTCTTTATTAAAGATGAAGATGCAATCATTTGGGATTCACAATAAGATCAAATGTCTTGTTTTCTTCAAGATTTGTAGCAATATTACCCAGCATCATATTTCTTTCTCTTAAAAGGGGTCATTTGGACAAATTGCTGTGATGTAGTTACCTAAACCTTCAATGTATAATAAACCATTTTCTTAAGACATGAGATTTTTAACATAATTAGGTAGCTCAAATGGTTATTTTATCATGATAATCTTTTTTTATTTTCTGGAAGGGGGCAGCTACTTTCTTAACTAACGCTGTACATTACAATTTTATTTTGATTCATAAATGGTCAAAGGGTGCCTTCATAGATCTGTAAGTATGCATTATGTTGGCAGTATTAAGGAAAAGATGTGATGAGATTATATTTGAAAATAATAAATTAACATCCCTTGATAATGCCTTTTCTAATTTATGCCATCAATTTACCTCCCTCTTCAATACCCATGTAACCTTCATCAATTTATCATCTCTCTTTTCTTACATGAGAAGAGAGTAAYTGCATATTAAATTTATGTGGCTGCTATAACAAATTATCAGAAACGTAAACAACTTATATCAAATAGCTTAAAACACAAATTGATTATCTTTCTTTTTTGTAGGTTAGAAGTCTGATATAGCACTTACTGGCCCCACAGTGTCAGCAAGAATGATTTCTTCTGGAGTCTCAGTATGATAGTTTCTGTTATAAATCTGGGATGTCCCCTGCAAAGCTCATCAATCTAGGGATTAGGACATGGAATCTTTGTGGCAATGCAGCAATGTTCAGAGATGAAAAAGATTGTATTATTAGAGGTGTCACCTCATCAGTGCATTAATCCATTTGGTGGATTAATAACTTGAATAGCCCACTTGAYGGTAACTGTAGGAAGGTAGGACATGGTTGAAGAATTAGGTTACTGGGGATGTGGCTTTGGACTACATCTGTTCCTGGCTTCGATCTTTGCTTCCTCACTGCCATAAGCTGAGCAGCTTTCCTCCACCATGCCCTTGCACCATGATGTTCTTCCTCATTTCAGAGCAGAGCAATGGAGCTGGCCAACCATAAACTGAGACCTCTGAAACTGTGAGCCCAAAATAAACTTTTCCTCTTCTATGTTGTTCTTGTCAGGAAGCTTAGTCAATCAAAAGCTAACACATTTTCTTTTCCATTTTTTWGCTTCTAGAATCCAATCGTTTTCCATAGCTTAGTCTCCTTCATCTATCTTCAATAAAATCAATGTTGCATTTCTATGTTCCTTTTTTCATAGTCACACATACCTATGATTCCATTATTTGGCCTCTCTCGTTCACCTTTAAGRATTCATGTTATTCATTGCATTTGTGCTGATAAGCAAAGATGATATTTCCATTCTAAATGCAACCCATTAGCAACATTAATTCTATTCCCAAACTTAATTCCTCTTTGCCGCTTAGTCTAACATATTCAGAAGTTCTAGGGATTAGGACATGGAATCTTTGTGGCTCATTATTCTAAGACTCCATGTCAGATATGCTGTAAGAGCTGTCTTGGTGATGGAAATTAAGATCCAATAGCATTGTAATACTACTCTTCTTAAGTGTAAGAGACCAGTAGGGTGTGGGAGGAAACAGATAACTTCTAAATATTCAAATAAACAACCTCCATCCATGGCACACATTTTTTACTTAGTAAATGACCACATATGTTTATTTGTTAGCATAGATTTTAAAAGACTGTGTCCCATATGAGATTTCTTGCACCTTGTTATGCAACATTTTTCTAGATCAAAAAGCTGCAATAAGCTGGAGGCTATTAACCAGTGTCATCAGAACTCAGTGTACCCATCTGTAATAGAGAATGTATGTGAATTTCTGATTAGTTGTTAGTGAAGGGTAAAATTAGAAATCAGTAGTATCTAGATGAAGAAGCAGAAGAGAAGGGAAGCATAAGTTGTCATGAAGTTTTTGCACTGTAGGATATAAAAGCAGTGGAAAGTGACAGGCTATTGAAGCTATGCCTTGAGGGTCTTAGTCAAAAGTGCCAGATCTCATTCTCAACACTCACTTGGAATGCTGCTGACATTGGTGCCAAGGTCATTGGAGGACATCACATAGTGGATGTCATAAATACCAGTCCCAGGTGCAAGAATAGGTAAGAGATAAAAAAATGGGCAAAATGCCAGTGAGTGGCATTCTCCACTTACAGGAAAATTGTGTTGAATAAAGTCTTATCTCTAGTGAAATATGTTTTTTCTAGATGTAGAAGACAGACCTTGAGATATTTCTGGAAAAAAATGAAGAGAGCAAGGAATTCCTGGTATGAGAAAATAATCTCAGTATGACATCTCAGATAGTCATTTTTCAGATTTTTAGTAAAAACAGAAAGGCAAAAACCATAGAACTGTTTCAAATGATTTTTGCATTTTATGATAGTATTATCTACTAAGTAGTAGAAAATAAAAATAAATGAATAAGAAGCTACATGAAAAAAAAGAACTCACATTCACCAATCATTGAACAACAACTATACAACAATGTATAATTGCTACTCAAATATTTTTATATTTTCTTCAAACTTTCTTCCATGTATTTGTTATGATTCTAGAAAATTTACAGAGGAAGGGATTGAGAACCAGATAATGTAAAAGATACAGTGAAGTGAGAATTAAGGTTTAGACCCAAGATGTTATGACTTTAAATGCTATACTCTTCATCTAACATATGATAGTTTTCAACTAAATAAATAAATAAACTTCAAAACATTTTATACACAGAGTAAAATAATTTTACATAAATTATTTTCAAAAACATAGGTTGCAAAAACACATGAAGTGTTTTTATTGAATGTCTCCTGCAATTTACTGAACTCTGTATTACATGAAAGACAGAATGTATTTACCAATCAATTTAATTCAGTTTTTGGATTACAATTGYATTAGACTCATAAGGAGCCAAGTGATGAAACTATTTTGTGTGCTCAGCTAACAAATGAATATCCCAGAAGAATGCAAGAGTGAAAGTGGTTTCCCAGAAGCATATAGGATGAGAATGCAAAAATATTGCTACTAAAAAATATTCAGGTTCCCTTTCCCACTCTTCCTTAGATTTTCTGTTAATGTATAAAATTCTCATCCAAAAAAAAAGGAGAATTGCAAAGTTTTCATTACATATGCTACCATTCTGAGAAGCCACGGGTGTCTTACAAGGAAAAATCTGCAGTATTTCCATTAGTCTTATTTGAAATACATACTTTGTCCCTCTCAACACAATTTAAATCCAATCAAAATACAGTTTCTGATTCACTTTATATYCCAGCACCCCTCTCTCAAATATTGATGTAGAAGCAGCATGGAGTGCTGACAAGGTATGGGGGAAGTTAGACATCAGTTACTTCTATAAGAGGGTGTGCCATCAACCAGAGTCAGGCATGCAAGCACACTTCAGCTAGCAGCAACCTGTTGTTATAGCTAATGCAGTACTGCCTCTTTGTTTTGATGGGAGAAACTTGAAGTTTCAGTGTTCATTGCACAAGTAACTTCTGTTTCCCCATTTCTGAGCTCCAGTTTTGCCCATGATAAAATAGTGATCACTGGATCTGCCATATGCATCATGGTAGAAATAAACATAATGATATAGTATAATTCTTAGCTCAGTACCCATGATTCGTTTTTGGTGTTTTGATGTTGTTGTTGTTTATTTTTTTTTTGTTTTGATACAATATGCTGTTTTGATATAGGTATGCATTGTGGGATGGCTAAACAAAATATTTAGTGTATTTGTTATCTCACATACTTATCAATTTATTTTTAGGGTGAGAACACTAAATATTCACTCTTTTGGCAAYTTTCAAACATCAAATATATTCTTATTAATTGCAGTCACCATGATATACAGCAGATATCTTGATCATATCTACCTGGTCTAACTGAAATTTTCATGATTTACCTACATCTTTTCATAACAAGTGCATATTATCATTAGTAGTAGTTTCAGAAGTACCAATGTCTTTTATTCCTCCTACTGTTCATCAGTTCCAAACCTCTTTACCTGAATTCAAGACCCCTCAATATGCCCAAATAATACAGTGCTTGAGAAAGAAGATGTAAATGTCAATTTGCTTGCTGTGCAATCTTTCGACTAAATTTTCACTTCACGTGGACTCAGAGTTGAATAGACATAGTATATGTTCAAAGTTTTAATGACTCAGCTGGCTAATTTAATATATAGACTAACTTCTTCAGGCATTTTAAAACCTGACTTTTTACATTAATTTGCAAACAGTATTATTTCTTCAAAGTAAAGCTGTACTTCACTATTAAATCTAGTGGATTTGAGATGCCAAGGAAAGTAGTACAGAACCAATTTTAGCCCCAGAAATGCTTCACACAATTGCAATT